GAACATTCTTGCCTTGAACCTTGATTCTCATGAACTTTGAACCCATTGCTTCTCCTATGAACTTCCTATTTTAGCCATGTTTTGGTTGCACTTCCTGTTTACCATATTACGGTACTCTCTCCAGCCAATATCACACTCTTGTCACTCCTGCTGCCATCCATATCTCCGCTACCACTCGTTACCAATCTTTGACTTTTTCCTCAACTATGCTTTTGCTTGATCCCAACCTGCGACCACTTAATTTAATTTAATTGACCTTTGGCTTCTTTGCTGACTACGCTTCTGCTTGATCCCTACCTGCTATAGCTGCTACTGGACCCTGGCTTTGTCTTCTCCTGGTGGGGCAATCCTCAGGACCGTGACCTGATGCTAACATGCAGCAAAACTTATCTCCACTATCAGGAGCTCTGGTGAACACCGAATAGTGCTTAGACTCTTCACCTTGGGCAAGCCTGTGTCATCATCCAGGGTGACCTGCTGCAGCACTTATCCAGATGGTTGGTGTGAGCCTCTTTACTGATATAGCTACTGGTCTCCAAGCCTGACCCCTGACTGTGACACATGGACTATTGGGTGTCCAGGCTATATAACTAGCCAGGGCTTGCAGAGCTCAGCGGGCACATTTCTAATGTTTACAACAAAATAAATCCTGCTTTGAGTCATAAAGTCTTTAGCCTATTTCAGAGCTCAGGCACAATATTTCCACAGATGGACCCCAGTTCCCAAATGTGTGATGTTTGCTGCATGAAAAATCTTGCAGTGTACTTCGATTTTGTGGCCTATTCTGGTGCTCTGGTATTCAAAAACATTTTACTGTCTCTCAGATAATTTATTCTAATTTTTATTTCAAGAAAAATTCTGCTGTCTATAACTTTTACGCTACAGCTTTACCTAGCTACTTATATACTGTCCAGCCACTGTGCAATATTTGCGGCAATTGTCTCTTAGATAATACACTCTTATTTTTATTCCAAGATAATTCCTCTTTCTTTCCTCTTTCATTCCTCTTTCTTATATTGTGACCCAACAAATCTGTTTACATACTGTCCAGTCACTGAACAATATTTGTGGCTATTGTCTCTCAGATAATACACTGTAATGTTTGTTGCAAAAAAGCCTCTTGTCTCTCTTTTTTTTTTTTGTAACCAATTCAAATACTGCAGTACTGTGCTGATGCCAAGTAACTTCTACCAAATACTTATCTGAAGCCTATATTTTGAATATTTTTTGGAATTTTGGGCATATGGGGATGGGAGGGGGTTTGGGAAACGTAGAGTTTGGTTTTGTGGGTTAAAATTTCCAAAGGAACCAAAGGCTGCTCCAAATGCTATTTCTACCTTTAATCTGGTTCTGCTAATGTCCAAGCAGCCTTAGCTTGCCACTGTCAGCGCCCCCAGATCCTAACCCTCTATCTTTGTATCTTGGCTCCGTTACCTTATTAGATATGACTGCCAGGAGCTTCCCAAACTATTTGCTGTTCTGTAATACTACATTTTTTAAAGCTTGATTTCAGAAATTCAAAATTTCAAAAGTTTGCAAATTTTTAATAAATTATTCTGAGCCATAGTTTTCAGATTTTTCAGAAGTTTGCTTATTTCTATCAGACAGAGCTATGGAGCAGTATTTAGGGAGGAGAGGGTGGGAAGTGACTTCTCCCTGATGTTGCAAAAGATTGCGTATGATTGTGGATTGTACTTTCTCTTGTCCACCCCATGCTGAAATAATTGGATGGACTTAGCCATTATAACAATTATTGTTCATTTCATTAAAACTTGATAGGCAGGTTTTGTCCTTGGTGTCTTCACAAAGTTTTTATGCAACAACCATAATTAAAATTTTTAAGTGTAGAGCCAAGATCTCTGAACTCAGGGTATAGGAGGAGTAATAAAACCTAATAACTAACAGTACAGGGCATGTTATTATTTTCATATATATCAAATTAAGTCTCTGATGATCTGGTAGGTCAGTTATTTAGGCAGATATGTTATGTTCTCTACAGGGTGTCAGTGGTTCTAGGAGGCTGTATATCTTCCATGTTCTGCATACATATTTTCCCATGGAATTGTGAAATGCGCTTAAACATACTAACATTTGATTGAAACATTTTACCTCGGCACCAGAAGTCTAGTATTCATGGAATTTAACAACAAGTACAGCTCTTGTAATAGTAAGACCTCATGCACACTAGCTTAACAAATGGACTTGTCCAGGTTCCGCAAAGTAAATATTCTTAAAATGATCTAAAAGCATCAAGTGTACATTTATACACTAGACATTTAAAAGGGTTTACAAGGTCAACGTTTAGATACGTTTACCAAATCAAGAAAAAAGTATATTCAGTTTCTGTTTAGTGTTAGTTTTGTGGAGTTAAAGGTATGTGAATGGATGTAAAGACATGTAAACATGACTAAAGCATATCCAAATGCACCAAAACACATCTAAACCTGCTTTAGTGTTGGTCCACACCAGAATTGCACAGTGATTTTCAGCCCATACATTTGAATGGGCTGAAATTGCATTGGATCGCATCAACAGTATTGCATGTGCAACTTTTAAAAACACACTGTAACTGGATTGTGTGGTACTGCGGATCCATGCAATCCAGTGCAGGCAAATGCACTGCATTTGTGATCTGCATATATGTGTGCCATTAGGATTACCTTGACACCCACAACAGATCGCATACCCAGAGCATTTTGAATGCGGTGCTTGAAATGCACATGGAACGTGGGTTTCCTGCACCATGTTCTTTTGTGAATAAGCCCTTAAAGCACGAACATCTAAACATAGGCAAAGAGGAATCTTGGAGGCATAACAATTATTTATACTTCTCAGATAACTTCTTTGTTTAGGAAAGCTAAACGTAGGAGTACCAGTGTGCATGACACCTAATAAAAATACATAAAAAGAAAAAAACAAGAAAACAATGTATGCTCTATAATAACATCTGTGTGTGATTCTAAAAATCTAAATGTCTTTAATACCTGGCACCATTTACTGGTCTATTGTGGTATTTTCCATTTTAAATCAGTGAATAACATTCATCCAGCAAAGGAAATAGATTAATAACATTATTTTTTTATTGACACTCACCCAGAATGAATGCACATGCAGTTTTACTGGGCAAATTACCATGCAATAATTTTTTTATATAAATAAAGCATCTAAAGGGGAACTTTACTCAGAAAATGAACTTTTTTGAAAAGACAGTTTTTTAATGCAGAAGAGATTGGTTTACAGAAGACAAATAGATGGTGCACTCTGCAAGTGAAGTTGCACGCATTTTCCCCAGAGCTTAGTAAATGTGTTAAAGCTCTCCTGATTTCCATTATTCAATCATGCGCAAGCAAAAATACTTTTTTGTTTTCTTCATCTGATTGGACATTCTTTGCAAAGCACAGCTTTGCCCTATTTACTTAGGGATATTAGATCAACGGCACTTGCAAAGCGCACAATCTATTTGCCTTTAGTAAATTCACCCAACTAATTTCTCTTCTGCATTGAAGTATTCTTACCTGCTTCACAAACAATAAAAGGACTTCCCAGCACACTTACCAGGCAGCCTGCAAAACAACCAAACTGGCCCTGTCTATCTGTTTATGTTAAAAGCGTTGGGTTTTGTTTGCACAAAATTACAAATATATACATAAACTGCAGTGCCCATGCCAAGGGACATGTCAGAACCTGGTTTACCTGCTGGTGGCACTGTGCCTTCCTGGGTGGAAAGCTGCAGTTTTAGTGTTCACCAGCAGGTGTCTCCCAGCAGTTGGCTGGTTCCAGCAATCAGCTCCACCTGAGCACACCTGCTGGGAGGGTACTTAAGTTCCCCTTCTACTATGGCTCCTTGCATCAGTGTTTTGGCTGCTCCTGCCTTGTACCGTTTGCCGTTTTGCTGCCAGACTCTGTTGCCACTAACTCTTGATCTTCCTTTTGCCCATTATCAAGTACCCCGTTGCCTTGTTCCTTGTTCCCTGTCAGTCTTGTTTCCCTCCTTCCCATCCACTACTCCAGTTTTCCCCTGCCTTGCATATTCCATTTGTATATATTTGTACATTTAGTTGCGTAGGTTGCAGAATTTTGTTATTCAGTTCTGATTATCATGCATTTCATGTTTATTGCTTTGCTAGTGTGTGATTATCTTACAAATCACTGTAAATAAATCTCACTTTAAACATATATACATGTGGTCTGGTCCCAGTTTCAATGTGTAGCTACATCATATCTGGTCATCACAGCTGCTGACTCCTGACAGCACCTCTGTATATACTGCGGTCCTAACTCTAAATTTCCAGAGACTCCATAGTAAGAGCACATATAACAATGGATAGATTAAGGGTAGGTATGCCCCCCCCTCCTTAAAGGCACAGGGATACACGTGATGCCCAGGAAGAGCAGAATGTCAGTGAAGGCTTCTAGTGTGTCCCTGCACCCAATTCATCCAACTGTGCAAAAAAGTGGCAACCACCCCAACCTATAACTGGCTTTTATATTTGTGATGTGCATCGCCCTTTCATATACACCTTGCTGCAAAGGTCAGTTATAGGTTGGGATGGTTGCCACTTTTTGTACAATTCTTACTTGCTTGTTTGCAATGTACACCGAGTAGCATATGTGCAATTGAGTGTACAATTTTAACATCTGCTGGGCTAAATGAACTCCCATGTATTCCCCCACCCTCTCACTAATTGCTTGCTAATTTAAAAAGATCCTAAGTTTAATTGTCATATTTACAATGTATCCACTGCTATATGTGCACCAACTCGGAGACAGTCAGAACTATAGAGCCTTAATCAGGAGCTGTGGCCTTTGCATATGTTTGCAAATGTGTGCAACTAAAACTTCTGTTTTCACATGTACTGTTAGACAGGGCTAATTTGGTTTTGTTGCAGGCTAGCTGGTAAGTGTACTGGGGAACTTTCTGTTGTTTGCAATGCATGGGAGGATATCATCACGACCACTGACAGCCAAAGCTGGGGGGTTTAGCAGTACTGCCACTGGCTCAGGGGTGGACTGACAACTCATGGGGCCTTCGTGCAATAGGGGATCATGGGGCCCCTGTGTCCTTGCCCACATTTATAAAAAGCCTATAAAAGGTACCAGGGGCATTTGATGGGCCCCCTACTGACTCCAGGCCCTCGGGCAGTGCCCGAGTGCTCAAATGGTCAGTCCGCCCCTGCACTGGCTTCAATGCTGAGTATTATTATTGCTGTCATGGCACCAATGCTTATAGTTATTATTACTACCACTGACACCAATGCTGGATGTTATAATTGTGTCCACTGACCCCAGTACTGGGGGTTATTATTGCAGCCACTGACATCAATGCTGGGACTTAAAGCGGAATTCCACTCACCCTGTAAAAAAATAAAAGTCAGCAGGTACAAAAACCGTAGCTGCTGACTTTTAAAAAAACAGCCACTTACCTGTCCCTTGGTCCAGCGGTGTGTTCTGCAGTCTATTTCACCGGCTGTCCTGTATTCGCGAAGGCCAGCATCTTCAGTGTGGGCACCCGGCTGTGCAGCTTGCGGCTTCACAGCCAGGTACCCACTGCGCATGCGTGAATAGCGCTGTGCTTCATGAATGGTCCTGTAGTCTTCTGGGACCTGTCATGTGTCCCAAAAGACTACAGGGAGGGAGGACATCTTCCGTTTCCGATCGCCTAGGCGAGTTTGACAGGTACCCACTCCCCCCCGCCCCCCAAAGGTGCCAATCCTTAATGAGGAACGGGGGAGCAGTCCTTAAAATGAAACTTCCCCTTTTGGGTGGAGCTCTGCTTTAATAATACTACCACCAACAATTGGGCTTATTTTTCCACCACATTCTCCTTCTTGTGAATTAAATGCATTTTAAATACATATTTTGCATTCCTATATTTTTATTAGAAGAGTCAAAATATTTTTTTATTGTTAGGACATGAAAGGTTTTGGAAGAATTTACTGGGCCCTGGTCTCACTAAAGCTGAGACTTATTGTTCTAGGACACAAGACACAGAGGGGTTGACTGACCACAAGACACAGAGGGGTTGATTTACTAATTCAAACATAAGTTCTACTCGAACATTGACCGTTCATGTGTTCTGTGAACACACGAATGGTAAGGGCGTTCGGTGGGCTGTTCACCCGCCTCCCGACAATGCAATTCAACCTGACAGTGCATTGTGATTGGCCAAAGCAATGCACCTGACCACAGATCAGGTGCAATGCTTTGGCCAATCACAGTGCTATATGACATCACAAGGGGCGGGGTGACCCCATCCCCTTGTGACATCATCACAGTATTTAAGTTATTTAAGAACTGTCATCCCGGCAGAGTTGTCAGATAACAGGAGTCAGCGTTGAGAGCGGAGCCTTTTTTTTCTTTTTATGGATCGGCGGTGGCAGCGGGCATCATGATTGACATTGGATCTACTTCGGGGGGCATTTTTTTTTTTTTTATTAAAGGACTTATCAAAGACTGTCTACTGTCATTTTTTACACTACACTTTTTTTTTTTAATGAGATAAGTAGCGGTACCATGTTCCCCATACTAGTCATTCATATGGGGGGGCGGTATCTGTTATCTGGATAGGGACAAGGTGCTTTGGGGGGATCCCCCCTTGCCCCAAAGCACCCCTCCCCCCCATGTTGAGGGAATGTGGCCTGGTATTTTTTCAGGAACCCCGCTGACAACTGAAACATTAAAGAATGTTTTAACTACAAAAATACTGCATGACTTTATAATATAACTTATGCAGTATTTTAGTAGCTGTGCCGTATCTTACGATATACTCAGATACAGTAAGATACCACTTAGTGAATTGTCCCCTCTGTTCGAAGTTTGCGGCCAAACCTTCGTTAGGTTCGAATGTTCTACCGCAAACCGAACAGAGGGGTGTTTGGCCCATCCATACTAATCAGCTTCTAACTGCACCTTGTTCAATTGGGCATTGACAAAATAACCTGGAATCTTATTAGTTTCTATGCAGAGCTGCACCAGATTTTGCACTCTCCAGTTTTAGTAAACCAACCCCATAGAATTTCGGTATGCATGAAACAAACCTTAAAAAATTGAATGCAGGAAGGGTACCCTTGTTGGCTGAACTACATGGAAATTACATAAATATTTATTTTAAAAACAAACAGAATGAAAAAAATGCTAAAAATTCAATTATTTACACTTTTTTGGCAGACTAAATTCATGTTTTTATTTTGTTAATTATTTATTTTGACAGTTTGTGCTTGCCTGCTCCACTGAATAGTTAGGTCAGAACCCAGAAAAAGGTAGTTATACTAATAGAGATGCGTGCTCTAGCTTGGTGCCATCATGTATGCATACATGCATGCATTGTTTCTGGTGGCTTGGTTTCCATGTTTACACCTTCAATAAATCAGTGTCTTAGCCTATAGGAAATAAAAAAAATGCGAGCCCTTGGGCTTACTCATTTCTAACTTAGAGTCTTCAATATGCTAGCTTCCATAATTTACCTGTGTATACCCTGACAGCAAAATAATTGCTGGCTTCATTTCAAAATAAGTGTCAGCACATCATCATCTTCTACGGAGGACATAAACGTTCTCTTTCTCTATTTTTGTCTAAAACAAAAGTTTATGGCACGTACACTGGACAAGCACATTGCATGAAATATAATGATATCTCACCCAACAAGATCATTTTAGTGCTATACTTTTCTGGATTTATTTCCTTCTGGATAGACATTTGTAGCATTGGAAGTAGAGAGAAAGTTTATAAGATTGCTGAACTGGCAATCTTAGAAACTCAAGGTTAACTTGTTCCAGCCTAAGCCTGGACATCATTTATTCTACAAACCAGCAAAGCAATCATTTCACATTCATTTATATCAAATGTTTAAATAACAAACATGATAATATTTGAAATGGCTTGAGGGTTTGTACTGACATAATATTTCTTCAACTACCCCTGTATTCATATGGAGTCGTAGCAGGATGTCTTGTTTTCAGACAGAGATGCTTTGTGCATTGGCAAAACCAAACAGGGAGGTAACATTAAGTTAGGACTATGGTCAAACTATAAAATCACATATAAAACAAAAAAGAGGGCTGCACTTTTTTGTTTTTTTTTGTTTTATATGTTTATGTATTGTTACCTGCAATACTGTGTTGGCTGCTTTTTGTTGCTATTACTTTCTATGTGATATTCAAATTAATATAGCGCGGAAGTGTTAAATTGTTAATTTAAAATCACATATGTGACGTGGGCCGTGCATTCGAGTGTAGAGCCCTTCAGTTGCCCCTTTAAGCCGTGTAGCAGGAGTTGCCTCCTTTCTCAGACTGTTTCTATTATCCCTGCCTGGAGATAAAGCAGAGTGAGGGAGAGTAGCTGAAGAAGTTCTCTGATTGGCTACAGCTAAAACCTAAAACCAGAATAGGCTGCCACTGCAGTGAAGGAACTAGACCAGCAATGGGCAAACTACGGCCCGCGGGCCGTATACGGCCCGGCGGACCTTTTAATCCGGCCCGCGGAGCTAGGCTCCCGCTAGGCTCCTCTCACAGTCCGCCCTGAAGACCGGTGTAGCATGAAAAGATGTCTCCTATGAGGATATGTCCCCCTCGACGTATCTGCGCATGTGCCGGAGATCGCCGATCGGCTGCTAATGCCTGAAACTGGCACATGCGCAGATACGTCGAGGGGGACAGATCCTCATAGGAGACAGATTTTCATGCTACACCGGAACGGCGCGGGAACACGGCGAGAGGAACGCGCGGAGCAAAGGTAAGTGAATTGACACAGGGGGGACTTAATATGGGGGATGAATTAATATGGGGAATGAATTACTATAGGGGGGATGAATTACTATAGGGGGGATGAATTACTCTATGGGGGATGAATTACTATATGGGGGATGAATTACTATATGGGGGATGAATTACTATATGGGGGATGAATTACTATATGGGGGATGAATTACTATGGGGGATGAATTACTATAGGGGGATGAATTACTATAGGGGGGGATGGGGGATGAATTACTATATGGAGGATGAATTACTATGGGGGATGAATTACTATGGGGAATGAATTACTATATGGGGGATGAATTACTATATGGGGGATGAATTACTATGGGGGATGAATTACTATAGGGGGGATGAATTACTATGGGGGATGAATTACTATATGGAGGATGAATTACTATGGGGATGAATTACTATGGGGGATGAATTACTATATGGGGGATGAATTACTATATGGGGGATGAATTACTATGGGGGATGAATTACTAATTACTATATGGGGGATGAATTACTATGGGGGATGAATTACTATATGGGGGATGAATTACTATGGGGGATGAATTGCTATGGGGGATGAATTACTATATGGGGGATGAATTACTGTGGGGGATGAATTACTATATGGGGGATTAATTACTATGCTTACTATGGGGGAATATTACTATACTTACTATGGATGACACATACACATCATTCATCTACTCTTGGTCCGGCCCCCGGGTCCAATATATGAACCCATTGCGGCCCTCAAGTCAAAAGTTTGCCCACCCCTGAACTAGACCCACCCCTAGCAAAGGGGGCAGAATAATTTCTATTGGCTGTATTTAGCCCACCCACTGCACAAAGGAGATCTGCTGTACAGTGAGCTCAGAGGAGCGATTGTGTGTGTGCCTGGGGAGAACACTGTGAGTTTGGAGGTACAATGGCTTGGGGGCGATGACAGAAACAACTTCAGGAGAGGCAGGGCTCCAGAGAGGAGGGCTGTAGTTTGCAGTCCAGAGACCGGGCTGCTGTACTTGCGGCTGTGTGATAAGAGGCTGCATGCTGTCTTGAGAGCAGGTTGACCGCAAGGCTGCTGTGTATTTGCCTAGAGTCTGGGGAGAGGATTTGGGACTTCACTACTGTGCTGTGTGATTGTTCCAGTGTTGCTGGAATAGCAAACACATTAGATGGCTGGAAGAGAAAGATGTAGCCAACAAGGATGCATGTTAGCAAATGGGTCACTTTTTTCTTTACTTTCAAATCATCACCAGGATTATCACGTGTTCCCTTGGGATTATCATGTGTATCCCTAAGGAAACACATGATAATCCAGGTGATCATATGCAAGTTTGACCCCTTTGCCAGCCTGCAATCTTGGGTCCTTGTGGGCCACATCGTCCTCTCCTGGCCTTCTGGAGTGTTTGTTGTGACTGCATCACTGGGAATGCGATTTTTAAGGTTTATATGGCTGATAAATTGTTGGTCACTTGCTTTATTCTACTCCTTGCACCTAATAAAGAGAGTGCCTTGAAACATGTTGGGGC